ACATGAGCCTTCAATGTGATGCTGCAGCTAGTAAAGCAAGCAAAACGCTGGCTTGCATCCATAGATGCTTCTCAAGCAAATCCAGGGACATCACTCTCCCATTGTACTCGGCCTTGGTGAGGCCGCAGCTGGAGTACTGCATCCAGTTTTGGGCTCCATAATTCAAAAAGGATGTGGAGAAGCTCGAGAGAGTGCAGAGGAGCGCCACGCTCATGACCAGAGGTCAGGAAAATAGACCTTATGATGAGAGGCTGAGAGCCATGGGTCTCTTCAGCCTAGAAAAGCACAGGCTCAGGGGCGATCTGTTGGCCACCTATAAGTTTATCAGGGGTGCTCATCAGGATCTGGGGGAACATCTGTGCACCAGAGTGCCCCAAGGGACGACAAGATCGTAAGGTCACAAACTCCACCGCGACCGATTCAGGCTGGACATAAGGAAGAACTTCTTTACTGTCCAAGGCCTCAAGGTTTGGAATAGACTGCCACTTGAGGCAGCTCAAGCACCCACTTTGAATGCCTTCAAGACACATTTGGATACTTATCTTGCTGGGATCCTATGATCCCTGCTGACTTCCTGCCCATAGGGCAGGGAGCTGGACTCGATGATCCTCTGGGGTCCCTTCCAGCCCAAATGTCTATGAAATCTATAAAATTATTCCCCTCTATTCAGCACTGGTGAGGCCATGTCTGGAGTTTATTTTAACTACACAGTTGGGATATCATCCAAAAAATACTTGCCTCTCACACAGTAGCATCCCAATCAGAGATAGGATAGTTTACCAATGCAAACACAAAACCGAGCATCTTGATCAGCTCCAATGCTCTAACACAACAAGCAGCAACCTACCAATTTCTTAGTCATTCGTTTAGAAGACTGCCACAAAAAATACCTATTGGGAGAAACTTATTATCTGCACCTTCACAATTCAAAGTCTTAATTATCTGCTATTCTAGATCATCATATTTAGTTACTTCATGGCATGATCAGTGTCCCAGATTTCCAAGGTAGATCAATGTCCAACCTACATGTCTGTTTTCAGTAGGAAAAGTTAGGTCAACAAAGACACAAACATACCGTAGTTGTGGCTATATTTCTCTACCCTGAATCTTCAAATCTTCAGAAAAAGTGAAAAGCTTACTACAACAATTCCAGAAGAAATGAAACAACTTTGATTTTGGTTTACATGAAAGGCAAACGGTTACAAATTGACAATTCTCAGCCTTCAGATGTTCAAAACCTGTATAACACTATCGTAATACAGCATCTGGTTTTGCCCTCTTCAAGACTTTGGATAAAGCTTAAGCATGAGGTATATTTTTATTTATTTTGATAATAAAAAAGGAAAATATGAAATAAAAGTAAAATAAAAATAAAACTTTAATATTAGATATATTTTTGTTTAAACCAGGACTATTCTTTTTACCATATTATGAGAAAATCTCTACAAGGTAATGAATAAACTACAAACTAGCAGATATAACAGCTACAGATAACACCCTAAAGTCATGGCTCTTGTCACACAAGGTAAGGAGGATCTGTGGGCACTGATGAGGACACTTTCACATATACCGGGAATGATACAATTCCTCTTTTCTTTTAATGCTTTCTGGGGATGCATCTACACAAGCAATTAATGTGAAGCAATAAAGTCTGGAGCTTATTCCTTCAGAGTTTATTGTTCCCAGGTGCACCATTTGAATATGTGCCTGGGACTGCAGCACACTGAGCTGGGTCAGAGCAGCTCTGGCTGGCACGGAGTTCCTTGTAACTTCCCTTACCAAGGCTGAGTAGACTATAGTGATTCTTTCATTGTACCATCAAGTTACTTCTGCAAAACAGAATTATCCTGATGGCTAGTTTCTCCATAGTGAAATCTGATATTTGTATTCTTTTTCAGGGATGGCAAAAAAGTAGCTTGAAACGACCTCCATCAGGTGCTGGAAATTACCATAGCATACATGTAACCTGCATTTTTCAAGTGGTCATTTAATCTAATTTATAGTCAATGTGGATTTCCATTCTTACATCTTTTTACCCCAATATCATTGGTGACTTATCTTTCCAGCTGCAAAAACTTAAGTAAAATATAGCTTTTTGGTTCCTTGTGACTCTTACTGAGGTCTTAAAAATATTAATTCACTGATAATTATTTATTGGATTTAAACATATTTAGAGCAAGTCTACCTTCCAGACCACTGTAGTTTGGAAATCATTTCTGGGTCAGTTTTCAATTATGGGTGAAATAATAAAATTATGATGAAATAAGGAGCTGACATAAACAGACCTGTCTTCCTCTGCCTGAGCTTAAAATGTAAACAATTATTTTTATTGAGATATTGGAGAGGACAATTACACATTGCTTGCGTACTAAAAGAAACAGTATGTTTTTCAGTTTTTATCTAGCTCATTAGAAAACAGTATTCATCATGTTTAAAATATTGTAGATATTTAAACTAAGAACAAAAGGACATTCCACATTTTAGCCACATCTCTCTGATTATTTATTCATGGGGAACATGCATCAGTACATCCTAAAAATCTTCTAGAGGTCCTGAAGGAAAATACACTTATTTTGATTTCTATTGTCATGTACTTAGTGCTACTGAATGGAATTCACTGTGAATGACAAATTGTTCTGATGTAGATTTAAAGCTCCAATACCATAGTGTGTGCAGTTCTGGGTTCTACATTTTAAGAAACCTGTTGAGGAGCTGGAGACCGTTTGGATACAGGAAACAAAAATAATAAAGATAAAAGTAAATTAGGTATGTAGAACTTGTAGAAAAGGCAATTAAAGGGGGACTTGACAGTAATCTTTGAATATTTGAAAGGCTACCATAAAGAAGCGATGCATGCAAACTGCAGCAAAGTAGATTTAATATCTATCAGCAAACTTTCTTATTGTTATAGCCATGAAGCAATGGACTGACTGCTCAGGGAAAGTGTGGAATCTTCTCCATTGGAGAATTTTTTTTTAAGAAACTGGATAAGCATTGGTCAGGGATAATTTAGGAGTAACATTTCTACATTCAAGAAGTTGGATCCTTGAAGTACCCTCCAGCCCTACGCTCTGTAAAACAGATATCATGGTAATAAAAACAAAAATTAATCAATAAATACAAATGGCAATATTACTGCTTTTCTAAAGTGACTGATGCTCTAAATGATCTAAATCAACTGGTTGCAGAATTAATATATCAGCCTCCATCTCATGTAATCCAATACTGTTCATACTAGTAACAGTTCTTTCTTATAACACTATCTACTAACCATCCAGGTAGAAGATACAAAGACAGCACTAATTGGTAGCTATGCATGTTTCTCCAAGGCTAGTGCAATTTTTTATTTTTGTAATAAAACAAAACATTTTAAGCAAAATGGCTGCATGCAAATGAAATAACATCAAAACAAAAATTTGCTTAACTTCTTTAGCATCTTTTTCATGGCACCTAGAAATGGCATTGAAACAGTCTATCTGGATTTAGAAAAGATGCGATTTAAATATGTCAAAGTACAGGATTAAGAACCCCACATGAAAACAAGCTCTGTTTATTTTATGGGCAGTCCCAGAAAAGTTTTTGAGCTTTTTCAGTTTAAGCAATGTATCTGTTTTTGTATTTTTACACCCTATCATTCCTGTAGAGTAAGAAATCCTCAAAAATGCAAGCAGCAGAAATAACACTTATATATTGAAAATACATATGCTATAGTGCTCCAGTATTCTCAGTTTAACAAGTTAGAACAGTGCACAGCAAATACTAAAGGCTTTGAGATTCATCCTTTTCGGCTAGGAAATATAAGTATTAAGATGTAATAACAGTAACAATGTGCTTTACACAATGTAGAGGACAACCTATTACACCATTATGGATACTAATTTGTAACAAAGATTTTTTTAGGATCTGGAAAGTATCTTCCTCTTCTGACGTAATATTTTTCAGCCACTCACGGCAAATCTTTTATAAACCTGTCATAAAACCCACAGACTATCCTGAATTATTTTCAAAATGCATTGCAAACTTTACAGAAAGTATGCTATTATGCAGGTAAAGAGATTTATACTTTTTTAGTTCCCTTATAGCTCTCTGTATCATTCTATGCATAATGTCATAGGTATTATAAAAAAAAAAAGCATCCCAAAAGCATCATTTCAATTATGAATTAATAAAATATAGCAGTGAATTCTCTCTTTCTGCCTCACCTTGTATTTCCACTGCAAATATTATATATATATATATATATATATATATATGCAAAAATATTAACAAAAAGTTATAAAAACATATTTATATGGAGGGAGAAGGAGGTGGAGGGAGAGAAACCAGCAACAGGAAAACTGGGCATTGAAGAGAGCACAAGATTGCCAATATTACCATTCCTCCTGTAATCAGATAACATCCTCTAATAGAAACATACCCAAACTTGAAAGATTTCCCTCAATAACAAGGCCGTTCCTTATGCATTACTATCAGAGACTAGTACGCGTCTTAGTCAACCCTTCTCTTCCCAGTTTTCCTCAAAGTATCTTATATAAATAAATATAAACCACTATGGATGAATATAACTGACATTTACATGAATGCTAAGTCATTTAAACTAATTAGTACTTAATATTGTAAAGAAAAAAAACTGTAACAGTTTTAAATTTTCAGATACTAAAATTACTTGAACAATTCTTGACATACTAGAGCCATTTTAAAGATATCTGACTAGCATTTCTAAATAATCAAAGAATTAGCTGGGGAGCCCAGGACCAGGACTCCTTAGAAAGGCAAAATACACCTGTGGTCTAGCTATTTAAGAACAATTTATTTTTGAAAGAGAAAAAAAGATACATCTTACTATGTACTTGGGCTTCAAGGTAAAATAACCCGTCTAACCCAACCCTTTCAGGTAAGAAGGTATACATATATAAAAGGTAAAGGATAAATTACATGAATATATCATCATCCTACCACTTTAATAAGGAAGACAAATTGTTGTTTTCAAGTATACCAACCTGCAACAAAATGGTAATTTTATGTTGGCTTTTCATGAGGTTGTTGATAGATTCAAAGAGTCTTCTCATAGATTCCTCAAATTCTGTCTGTTCTTTGCCTTCATATAACCTGTTGGGAGATGCAGTCTAATCACTACTTGAGAAACAGAAAGTACCATACTTTCAATTGTGACAAACCCAGTGTTCATTTAAAATTAAAATACATAAAAGAAGTTGATGCAGTATTAGGTACACGGATATTTCACTCAGGGGACATATCTGGTATCCATTGTAGTAGGGAGAAATTCTTCAACTTGACGCAACATAATAAAGGTTTCTAAATTTTTCCTGAAAAAGCCTTTAAGGAATAAAACTTTCCAGGCCTAAAGACATTAATAATCTCACCTGACTGGTGGGGTAGGAGATAAATAATTGTCATTTCACTTTCAAAGTGACTTAAAATGTCAAGGAGAAATTTTGTGATTTTTCTTTTCAATTTAGCTACAGTGTACTGCACCAAGCTAGAAACTGCATTTCCAAGCATCAGTACTGCATCCATGAATTACTGCAGTCCTAATCTTTTTCAAGGTGGCGTGGATTTTCTATACCCATCTTAAATACCACCAGTCACATGTAACACCTTTTATACCCTAACATATAAATTATACTGTTGTAACAAGCTGACAAATATCTGAACCAACCAATATAAAACTAATCAGCTGCTGCTAGGCAGAATTCAAGGTCATTACCTATTAATCCCTGATACAAATTCAGAAGACCACAACCAGTTTGAAACCATTTCATATTCGTCTTGGAAAACTGCTTTTTTGGCCAATCAAGAAAAGGCTTTGCCTTTGTAGCAGAAGTGGTGACTTAAAATATGCTTGCTTCAGATTATCAATCATGAAGACAATTTTCCAAAGTCAGTTCATATTTGTCCATCTCCAAGTAGCATGGCTATCTGGAACCAATTTTATATCCATCACATCTTACATTTTGGCTTTGGCAGAAAATTCTGTTTACACTACCTTTTCCCATGACTTGCATTACTACTTCCAGCAAAATTTTCATAGAAGTAGAACAAACAAGATCACTAAAGAAATTGTATATTAACTCCCTGAGCTTTCAAAAATATCCAAATAGTATTTCAAACCTAATTCTGTCACCATTTTTCAAGAAAACCTTATCGAAGACCCAAATCATACACTAGACCCAACATACTTGGGATCCTGTGAGATGCAACCTCAAAAAGTATTTTAGAACATGAATTTTAAAAAACTGTCTTGTTCATACTCTCTCTGAATGGCCATTTGAGGTAACCTTTGGTCCTGGCTAAATGCAAACAACATCAGTTAAAGCAAAATATGGCCCGGGGGCTGGATCTGTCTCACCAATTGATTGTATCTGTCTTGTGGCTGACCCCAAAGTGCTCCACATGGGACTAAGCCCTGCCAACTCTTGCCTGGGGCATCACACACCACACTCCCACCTGTACTTGCTAATGGCACCACCCTGGTTCCAGCTCCAACCAGCATGCACAGTGCTGCTGCAGCCACTCAGGTACTGCTCAGATCCCTGTGCCATTGGGTCTTCCTCCTGCTCCTGCCCTGCCCTGCTGCACTGCTCTAGGTAGAGGGGAAGCTGCAGCTGAAGGGCTGCTGCCCCAGCGTTCAGGGCTCCAGCTTCAGCTCCTGACCACCTTCCACTCACTCCACCCACCCAGAGTGATGAGAAGCTACGTGTGGGTGGTTCAGTGCATGGAAGGCAGCTGGGAGCTGGAGCTGGAGCCTCATGTTTTAGGGCAGGAGCTGCCCAGCTGCAGCTTCCCACCTGCCTGGAGCAGCACAGCAGGGCAGAAAGGGGAGAAGGAGGAGCTGCAGGGGACAGGGGCAAATGAGCAGCACACGGGAGGCTGTAGCAGCAGCAAGAGCAACCCCACTGGGAATCATGCTGGCTGGGGCCAGAGCCATTGATGGGTGCAGGGTGGGTGCAGGTGGGAAAGCTGCACAGGCTGCCCCAGGCAGGAACAGGTGGGACTCAGCCCCATGTAAAGCATTATGGGGGCAGCCGTGGGCCAGATGGGAGGGCAGAACGCACCTGCACCTATACTGCACTGCCCAGGCAAGATCTTCTGCACATGCCCCCTGCCACACCCTCCCTTCCTGCACTTCCAGCCAGCTCCCAGAACTCAGGTAGCATCCCCCACACACATGCACACTCAACACCCCTCACCAACCAGTTATCCCCCCCCACACACACACACCCCCCAGACCCTCCCCATACCCACAATATACAAAAGTAAAATTTTATTTTGACCAACTATGTAATCACCTTTACATACACTACACAAAAAAATATAAATAAGGACAAAAATATTTTTAAAATAAAACTAAAATATCTTATGTTTGATGTTTGATTTTTAGTATATAATTTATGTTTTTTATGTATATTTTATTAAAATGATGTCTTCTGAATGATATTGTGTCTGTGGCCCTCAAAAGTTCACCAAAACTCCTTAAGTGGCCCACCAACCAAAATAATTGCTCATCACTGAGCTAAAGATTATAGAAAAAAGGCTTCTCTCGAAGGCAGAGTATTTAAGGTTAAATTTTAGATCAATTTTCATTTTAAGAGGTTTGGCCAAACCTTGTGCTTCTGTCAAGACACCAACTGTTACCATAATTAAGGTAATGCAACAATTTCTTTACAGAAAGCTGAATAAGTCCACTTCCAGCACTCATCACTTCCTCCCAAGGTATTTTAAGCTTCTAAACAAGTTTCAGGCCTAATTTCTATCCAAAATGGACTTTTTTTGAGTAGTTTGGTCAAAAGTCAATTGGCCTTCCTTTTATACAAAATCTTACTTTCCTCTTGACAAAAGATTTATTATTTTTAGCATGGAACTGAACACCAAATTTAGGATGTAAGCCTGTTGTTACTAACACACAGCCTCAGAAGACAAAACAGGCCAATTTTAAACAAAAGACAATGTAACAAGAAAAAGAATGAACAGTATCTTCAGGGACTATTTTTTTAATTTTAGTCCTTGAGAAGTATTTGTTAATTTTGTGTTCATAAAATAAAATAAATTATAAAAAGAAGTAGACTTAGACTATTTATTCCATGAGAGAGTCTTTTTTCTGAGGATCTAGCTTCCCTTACACTGAAAAAGACACCTGGCACATCAATAAAAATCATATCACCTATCTTGAAAACATTTAAAAGCATAACCAAACTTCTATTGTATCTGCAACAGAAATATACCTATTATTAAATCAGATTATACTATAATAAATTTACTATTGAATCATGTGATAAGAACTTTCAGTGAAATATATTTCCACTATTAACAAAGTGTTGTAGCTGTGATGGCCCAGCTGGCTTTGTCAGGTTTTCTTGCATTTTAAAGCGTAACTAACTTTAGCCCAGCTACATAGCTGGTCCATTAAAACGCATCACCCTAACAAATCCTTGCCTCTCACTTTATTAATACCCACATTTACTGAAGACAAGTTTTTAAGCCCCCAGACAGATATTTACACCACTTAAAGGCGTGGTGGGATACCAACAATTGTGCCTCCTGCCATGCCACAAATGTGGAATCAGGAACCAGATCAAATCACATCATATTGCCAGCTTGGGGCAGGGGACAGGGGATCATGAACCCAAGCTCCCATGCACCAGCAGGTTGGGTGCCTGGCAATCAGTTGATCATTGGCAGAGATCTCAGTATCTACACCATACACACTCAGCAAAGGGAAAATTCTGGGCTGCCATGTCTCTCATAGGCACCTAAAATGATTAGGCAACATAATTCAAGTTGCAGCATGGGGAGTTTATCTTAGATATTAGGAAAAAAATTCTCACTGTCCCCAGTCCTATCTGTTCCAACCCCCACCTTGCTCCTCTCATGCACTGGGCCCCGGCCCCCTATCCCAGGCCTCTTTCTTCCAAGGCTTGATTCACCCCTTTCGGGCACTGGGCCCCTGTCCCCTGTTCCCAGTCCTATCTCTTCCAAGGCCTAGTCTCACCTCTCAAGAGCTGCAGTCTTCACTAGCTGGGCTTCAGGCATCCTGGCCCTCCACTATGTACCGCCCGTCTCCAGGCTATGGGTTTATCTGCTCCTGTTCTCAGGCCTACCTGTTCCAAGGCCTGGCTTGTTCCTGGGCTCAGTACTGCTTGCCCCAGCACAGCAGCTATCAGAAGCACAGCTGCTCTTACAGTGGCACTCAGAGTTAGACTGCCTGACCAGCTTAGACCCTAGGCTTATATAGCTCAAGCCGAGCCCCCTCCTTGTCAGCTGACTCCCTGATCAGCCCCCATCACCACCTGCAGGCTGCTTCTCAGGCAATCTCTCCTCTTGAAGTGACAGGCACACCCCAGTACTCTGTCACAGCTGGTATCAGACATTGCCTGTGTGCCACCATAACAATTTTTATGGCAGCACAAAGTGAAAGCAATAGGTGTCTATGACCTTTGTCACGCCACAAATGCTTGTGGCTGGTAATAATTTGTACCACTTTTCTACTGTGGGTGTCCCCTTTATGGCAGGAGTGTGTGGGCATCTCAAAGATGCCCACACTCTCCAGCCACCTCAGGCAGGCAGTACTGGGGTGTAAGGGGATTCGCACACAGGATCAGGCTGCTCAAGCCCTGGGACCATCTGCCCACAACTATCTCTGCTCACAGAATTGCACACAAGAGTCCCAGGAGTTCTCTAAGCAGGAAAAGTTGAGGTTCCTTGCTTACAAAAAACACACTGGCATTCTTCGCTTACATAGAGAATGACCTCAGAGATTCCCACAGGTACATCTCTATGCAGGGAATACTGGAGATACCCAGGAGCATGCCTCTAAGTGGGAACTTGTCTCCTGCTGTCCCACATGATCAAAGTCTGTTTTGATGCACTTCATTTGGTAACATCTAGTTATACTCTTAGAGAAGCCAGATATTTTCTAGTTGGCAGGGTCAGACAGCATGCACTCCAGCATACTCATAGAATTCTGAGGTAATTATACATCTATTGGCTGTTATCTTTGATAATTCATGGAGGCTGGGTGAGGTCCTGTATAACTGGAAAAAGGTAATATATGGTCAATCTTTAAGAAAGGGAAGGAGGATCTGGGGAAT